GACCTAAACAAGAAATTGTTCTAATCAGAAATATTTTGTACAGGGATAAGCATCAATGCAGAAGGAGCTTTTGTGTTCAAATCCTCTGCAGAACCCCTGACGTTGTCTTCTGCTGTCAGAAGCTATAATCCAGCAGAAGTGAGTCACATGGCTCTTAATTGCTGTAAATAAGCTTGCAAGGCTCATAGTAACTCTAATGACCAAGTCAAACTCTTGTTATTCTAAATTGTTCATATAGCTTGGTTGATATCTAGAGTTTTTGTATTAAGAAAAAAAAAAGGAAAGAAGTGAAGAAAGGAAAAAATTCAGTTTTCAAATTTGAGGCTCTTTCAATAACCTTAGAACACACCTACAAAGAGGTAGTGAAAAGCCCTGTGACTTTCTGGTAGTGAGATCAAGGACAGTAACGATCCACTTGCAGGAATGTGCACTGAATTGTCTGACGTGTTTTCCTCCTCTGATCCACTCATTTCCCCTGGAGTGCTGATGCTTTAGAAGCTCTTACAGACAGTGCTGCTTGTCCATGGTCACACTCCCCCTAGTGAGCTCCAGCTGAGGTCATGGCTGCATGCCACTGCAGAAGGCCAGCACTGGAAATTCTTCAAGAAAAGGAGGAGAGTCATTTTCTGTAGTAGTTTTCTGTTGTTTCAGCCCCTCAAATGAGGGTAGCACTTTGCCAGAGGAGTTCCAGAGCCAGTACTGCAAAGTAGGAGCAGGGTTTTCTAAGCTTGGGAGTGGACTGGAGCAAAACCTCCTATTTTTTAGCAACAACTAGCTCTTAGATTTCCTGCTGCAACGTGAAACTTTGCCATTAGGTATTTTTAAGACTTGAGCATTTTCAAGTATTTCCCAAGGACTCTGTGTCAGTATTCACTTGGTCTTAGTGATCAGTGTGGCTGCTATAAAGGCACACTTTGCAGGTATTTCCAGAGCTGCTGGTGATATATATGAATGCATTCAGTTCTCCCTGAACTGGCTGTTTCTATATTTCTTTGCCTTGATTCTATGCTCAGTTCAGTGGTTTTCTTACATTTGCACTTCACTAAAATCGTCCAGATTACCTAGGCCAGGACATAGGTTGGCTGATGCTAGTTTTAGTTAAGAAGCCTACCCATTGGCAATACCCACCTACAGAATAGCACAGTGAGGATGCCTGCTACTGTTTTAGTCTTGCTATTTTTGGAGGGCTACTTAGACAATAAGTTACTGGCAGGAATGCATTAATTGAACCCTTAATGACTTCCATATTATTTGAAATAAATTACTGTATGTCCTTTATTTCTTTCTCAGCAACATCTAAGGCCTGTGCTCAGGTAAAGGCTGGACCTTGAAAAAGCCCACATTCAGAGTAGAAAAAGGATTGGACAGAAACAAAAAGGAAATGCTGCTGTATGTGTCATACAATCACTGCAACCTTTGTTTTTAAATTACTCTTTTCCAGTATAATAACTTTCAGTAGCAAACATGTCCTTAGTAGATCCTGCCCCAAAGAACTTGTAGTCATAGAGAGTGAAAAACAGTAACAGAAAGCAAAAGTTACTCTCTCGATTCTAAAAAAAGTGACCATTAAATAAATATAAGAGGTAGGTGGCAACTAAGGAAGAAACCCTTCTCTTGATAATTTGAAGCTGAATACCATAACCATAAGTCAAGTGTCCCTGTCAGCCAAGTGGGGAAGTGTAATACTTACCTAACTCTTCTGAGGTCTTTGCACAAGCAATTTTATACTGACATCAGTGTCAGACTATTTGAATAAGATCTAAAGATAAAGGTTTGAGAAACTGGCTTGAGTGGAATGACATTGAAATATCTTACTCAACCATTATTTCAATTAGGTGCTCTGCAATCACTTGGTTTAAAATAAAAGAACAATTTCTAAACATAAACACGGTAGGTTTCAATGTGCGGCTTTACATTGACGTGTCTTGGAAAGGTAACACTGCAGTCCTCAGATACCCCAGGTAAGTAATGAGCAGCTTCCTCCCATCGTGAAGCTGCAAAGATCACTATCTTGCCATATTTACAACCACACCTGCAAAGCACCTAAGGAAATTAGTAGCTCTCTTACTCTGGCCAGGAAAAAGAGCCAGTGATACTGGATTTACTGTATGATGTCTTTGTTTAAGGTAACAGTGGTTCAGGAGATAGGTAAGAGGATAAAACACCTTTTACTTTTCTGAAACAGGGGTAGATCTTGATAGCCAGAAGGACAGTTCAATTACAAATGTTATCACCTGATTACTGCTCAGATAGACAACCTGGTATTTTGTTCTAATTAACAGCAGGTACTGAAAATGGTTGTTTGGAAAGTATTCAGAGATCTGAAATAATTTCAGATTGTTTGTGTTGTTTGCTCAGAATGGGGCAAGGGGGAAACGATGAAAAATTAGAAAGCTTTTATTTCAAGAGATTAAATGTTACACGTCCTAAATGTGGCATTTCTGAAGCTTGTTTTATAGTTCCTAGTTTCACATGGTAATTTTGAATTGAAAAATTGAGATAGATTTAAATAAATTTTTTTGTTGTTTGGTTTATTTTTTACAGTGGTTAAAGAAAAAAATATGGAAAAATATTTTGGGGATGAGCTACGGAAAAAATGACTTTTTTTTTCTCACTTTCTGTCAACATTAAAAAAAAAAAGTTTGGTTTGAATTCGACCATACACATTTATTTTCTTAGATAACTATAATTTTCCTAACCTAGCCACTGAGCTGAAGAAGCTGCAAGCTGACTTATGAGGCAAAAAGAAAGTGACTGTCATCTCCCATTGTCTCTGTCTGGCAAAACAATGCATCTCCTCAAAATGCAGTCTTTCACCTCCACTACTCAGTGGTGTGGCTGCATCTAGCCCTAGAAAGACCCATCACTTATCTTTATTTAAAAGCTTTTATGGAATGAATGAAAAGCTTTTCTCAAACAAAGTTATGGGAGATTTATATTTATAGGAGAGTGCTTTGGTAAGTGCCATCCTTCCTCACGAAGCTGTTGGGACCAAGGGTGGAAGGACTATGAAGACAGTGCCTCAGTGAGGGCAGTTTTTGTGCACCAAAGCTGAGTTTGAAATTTTGCAGTGCCATTGCTGGGGCAAATAATGATCTCCACTAAATGAGGCTTCTGTATCTTTTGTAGGTTTTGTAGGTCCCTGTCAGCTTTTCAGTTTATGCCATCAGTAGGATAGTCCAGTTCACAATCATTTGGAGTTGCTCCCACTCTGCTGCTTGGTTTTTGGCAGCTCAGTACCTTCCTGCAAGGGGCAGTTAGTGAGCAGCCCAGTGGGTAAACTGCATGTAGCTGAGTGCTCTATTAATTGACTTTTATTTCTTTCATGCTGAGCTTACAGCATGGGCTTGCATTTCTTCCATTCTGATTTTGTCTCACATAGTTTCTTGTGTGCATTACCCAAGTGCCAATGGGTAGTGTATGAACTAATTTAACCTCAATGTAATTTGAGATGCCTTTTTTTCTCTTCCCCTCCTGCTTATTTCCAAGTACTTTCTTAAAAGGAATTTGGAAAAGAAGTAAGATTCAGTCACAAATGTGGAATGAGACTGTCCTAATTAACAAGTAAAATCTTTCTAGAATACCTCCTCTCTTTTTTTCTTGAACAGTCTTTTACAATCTGATGCTGCAAGTACAGTACCATATTTTCTGAGTCTAACTCCACAGACCTGCCATGACTATGTCCTGTCTCTAAAAAGGGGATGGGGAGGACTTTCTGTACCACCTTGAAGTTATTGCCTGGTTGTTATCTAGTCCACTCACATATCCTGCTGTGCCCTCTTTGGTTCAGGTGTAACCTTTCAGTTTTGTTCTTCCTTCCTTATGCAGTTGACTTTGTCTTACTTTCCCCATGCTGTACATTTTTTATGTCTGCAGCAAGCCCTGATGTCACATAGCCCATCTCCCTGATGCCCAGGAGGAAATGGATGTAGTAGTTGTCAGTGTGCTTGTTGACAAGAAACACAAAACCTTTAATGCATTTTGGCCATGCTGATTTACTGGAAACATTAAGTTCTTGGAGGGGTTATTGGAAAAATAAGTTCCATAGCTCTCCAAAATAACTTTTGCACCTTGATTTGAAAGCATTCTGGGCGCTTTTTCTTTCTTTCCTGTTCCATTAAGACATGGGTCTCCCTGCTGCAGCTGTTCTGTTTTTAATGTCTTGCTCTGTTTCCAGGCAGACATAGCACTCTTGAGTGGAGTTCATTGTTCTCTGGCTGGTTTTCAACTTTAGGAGATAAATTTGTCAATGTTCTACTTCGGTCTCTTCAGTTCACTACAGCAGCAGAATATCTGATCAAAGCTGCAACAGCAATACAAAAGTGGAAAACCATAACTCCTCTCTGAATAAGAGCTTTTTTCCTTTATTCTCTCCTAGTGTATCTAGTCCTTACTGGTGGTGAGCATGGTGGCTGCCTTTCTAGCCACAGCAAAGTCTGTGAAATGTCAGTTTGAGTGGCTGGTTGTCACTTGCAGAAGCCCAGGAGCATCTGCCAAAAACTGATTTTAACTGGTGACAGATTTTTGTGGAAAATATTTTACACAGTGGATGATCCACTGTGTGTACCTGAGTTTCATAAAAAATCTGAAGCCAAAGATTTCAGGTAAACCTATTTTCCTAAACAACTATCGTGGTTATAATTAATTTTTTCTTCTCTTGTCAAAAGCCAAATTCATAAGTACTATTTGATGAAAATTAACTCTTGACATTCTCTATCAGTTTGAGGTGTCCACTGGCTGTTTTGTGAGGTTTGATCCTATCTGGTATTACTATGCCCCAGTGAGAACATACCTTATGGAAAACTTATGGTGGCCCCCAGGCCTTTTCCAGGTCTGGGTCTGTGCACCATGAAATTGCAAGTGTGGACTGAGGAACAGACAGAGCAGATTGCCTGGAGCATTGTCCTGTCAGGATCCCTGTCAGCAGGTCCCAGCAGGCATGGGAGAAGTGGAGGAAGCCATGCCTCTGCCTTAGGACCCAGCACTGCCAACAGCAAATGATGGGGAAACAGGATGGGAAGCTGGGAAATGTCGAGGTATTGTATTCATAGAAGAAGCAGGTAGCAGGCATGAAGCTTTCCCTTTCTCTGCCAATGTTTATCTCAATTTCACCAGCGTCTCTGCCTTGGCCAGGTGATCAGCCAGTGGGCATTTCCAATTGAGGAGCCGTGATTTACTGGTGGTCAGAAAAAATTCCCAATAAATTATTTGGAATATATTGAATCCCTATTTTAGGAGAAGTTGAAAAGAGTGCTTGGAAGTGGGTTGGTTGCCCACCAGAGATTGTAATAGGTGAGATTCGGTTCTCCATTCCCTTTGACTTTTTATTTTGTGGAAGAACTTAAAAGCTACTGAAAATGAATCTTCTGACTAGACACATGGAAGAGATGGGAGCGAAGGGAGACTTTCTGAACACGTCAGAGGGAGGATGTTGGGACAATAGCAAATTGTGAGAAATAACAAAAGCGTCAGCCTTTCTGCTCACCTCTGACATTGCAGATCTTGCCCTCTGAGGTGTAGGCAGGCTCTCCTGCACACAGAGGAGGCAGAGGGTGGAGCCCGGCGCCTGTATAAATTATATGTGTCCTTCAGGTTATTTCAGCAGCAGCAGCACAACAAGCTGCCAGCGTGTTTGTCAGCTGACAGGTCTGTTACCCAAACTGGGGTTTCGGTCGCTGCTGCCATCTTTGGTGCCATGGGGAGCCCACCAGCCAAGGTAAGAGAGTGGCAGCCCTGTGCTGAGCCGTGACCTCCCTGGCATCTCCCTGCTGGCCCCTCTGCCCCAGCTCTCCCAGCAAACTGCCTCCTCCGGGCATCTGCTGGGATGCAGAGGCTGCGGTGGCGTGGCTGGGGCATCCTGGCCTTTGCAGACTCGCTGCCCTCCTCTGTCACCTCTCGGGAGCTTGTATGTAAGGGAGCTTCAGTGAAAACGTGGAGGAAATGGGGTGCTTGGCTTTTATCATGGGGTGTACATGCCAGAGTGAAGTCCCTGAAGGAAGAGGAGGCTCGTCTTGAAGAGTTTACCTCTCGTAAAATGAAAGTGCTTTAGCCTTCCTGTGTGCTTTTCTCTGGATAGCACATGCTCATTGCTTGCCCCAGCTGAAATAAACCAACAGCTTTATCTAGCAACAAAGCATAATCTATATGACTTTAGCTGCAGGGGAGACATCTAACGAGCTGTTTGCCTTGTTAGATCTAACTATTTTTATCGTAATGTTTACAGCGTTTGCAATTCTAGTGGAAGTATTTCATGTCTGGACTTGAGTTTTCTAACAGTAAGTTCCAGAGATTCTGACTGGTGGCTTTTAGTATAAATCAACAGAACAATTAGTTGAAGATTCTTTTCTCATGTATATCTTAAAAAAAATAATGGACATGGTGTCTGAATTCAAGGCATGAATTATTTACAGATAATCATTCTTTGTATATCAAACCCCTTGTCAAATTTTGCAACAAATAAAAGAAATATGGGTACTCATGGGCTTAAAATATAGTGAGAAACAATTTTACATGCTACAGCCCATAGATATTATTAATTGTGCCATGGTAATATATGAAGGCAAAGTTAAAGATTAGAAAAATATCAGTAGCTTGAATGGATGGCTCAAGGGTAGATTAAAAATATTCAAACATTCAGGCAAAGAAAATAAATTGTGAATGTCATGTACTTTCTGGACAAATTTACCAGTTAGATCCAGACATATCTCTCTGTTGTAGATATGAATATTATCGATCAGTTTGAAAGATCAATGTTATATCTAATAAGAGGGTTCTGGAGCTGATGGATGGTATAATTTGATCTATAATAATATAGATAATAATATAATATATATAGATAATAATATAATAGCTATAATAATTTTATAATTTTAGCTCAGGTATAATTTTATCTAGAAAGTTTCAATGACAAAGTTCTTGTATTTCATCCCAGTGCTGCAACTGCTGTTCCATGAGTACAGACAGACTCCTGGTTAAGCACCACTGCCAAAAGGTTTGAGTGCAAGCACAGTTTCTGTTTCCAAGGGAAGAGATTAATTCAGTACTGCAGGTAGCTCTGCTCTTGGTTCAGGCAAGCGTGTGTTTCAGTATGTATAAGTTGATAAATAGATATGGAAATAAGAACAGAGTGGTTTTGTGTGGGTTTTTTTTTCCTTTTACATTAAAAACCCCACATGTTTAGAAATGTGGATACTTTGAACTATCTAGGAAGACCTCCAGATCTCCCAGGTAGTTTTTTGCACTTTAAGAAAGCTACCATGTTGACATAGAAGTGATTGTCAGTGTTTACAACTTCTCATATTTATAACAAGGTCATTTCTTCTGCTCAGACAAGAAGTTTTAGAAGTTTAGAAGTTTTATTTTGTGGACTATGGAATAATTTTCATCTGGTAAAATACTAGAAATTTTGTCAATACAAAGCCCCTGGGAATGACTCATATAGGTAAAGGAGGTAACTGATATATGTGAACAGGAGATATGTCCCAAATCCACAATGATTCTGGAAGTAATCCATCCGTGATTACATGAAATTACAGTATATGTTTGTAAGGTGAATTAGATTTCCTCACTAACTGTTCAACTTCCAGCGAAAAAATCTGGGACAATTATGATTCCCAAGCAAAATGAGACTCTCATAGTTTTATCTGTTTCTTCAGTCAGTCACTTTTTCCACTAGAACTTTTAATCCCTTTACTTTTAATGAAAGTAGGCAGCTGGTTGGAAAGACAATTTTCTAGCGAGTTGTCACTGATGGAAGGATTAATAGCCCATACTAGATGTTAGAGGATCTATGTGGAAGGGTGTGCTTTAGAACCAGGCTGGGAATGAAGCTTTCTTATAGTTTATACATTTATAGATTTAATCTCAATTTGATCAAGTGCCAAATTGTAGCTGGACTGAACCCTCAGTATCTAACATAAAATAATGGTAAGAATATGCCAAATAATTACATTTGGTGTAAGATCTTGTAGGCAAGATACTGTACAGCTTCTAGTACACTGCTGAAGAAAGAAGTAATCCATGAAAGAAGGTAATTATTCATGTCTGAAACACATGTATAAAGTTGAGTGACAAATCCTACAGCTACTTTCAAAATGTCAGAAGACAGCAAAATCCTCATCTAAACCTTAATATAATTTGGTGTTATCCTGTGGTGTCAGCTCTGCTCAGAGAGCTGCTTAAGCTTGGTGCAGGGAGAGTGAAAGACTGACATTCCAATCTGCCTTCCATGTACAAACCAAGGACTTATTTAAAAAAAATGAAAAAGAGAACAGGTAGTTATGGGATGAGGTTCCCAGACTGCAGAAACTTCCCTAGAATACTGTCTTTGCAGTGAAGGTAGCCATGAGATCTTCTAGTAGCAGCATGGAGGGGCAATAAGGGCTGAAACAAAACATATGAGCTCTTGGTAGGTTTTTCTTCTTTTACTGCCATCCACAGACTGTTTTGGTCGTCTCCTCAATATTCATAAGCTTTAAGAAGATTTCTTATACTCAGAGTTTTCTTTGTGGAATGAAACCTTAAGTGACTAGCTGCCTGTAAACAGTAGATTTATCTGTCCTTCCAAAGCTGATCAGCATTCCTGTGGAAGGAAGTGAAGGAAGTGAGCATGTGAGCATGTATTATTGCAATCAATGTGATGGTGGCAACAGATTTGAGTTTTCAGTCTGTTAAGGTTTGATACAGCTGTGGCAATTCTGACATACAAGTTTTATCTCCTGATTACTGACTCTTCTGGATTTTAAACAGAAATTACTCTCTCAAAGCTTGCTTTGAGAGTACAGAAATATAGTTTAATGCTAAATACTGTCAGGTGAGAAGAAGTTTGTTGGTTTCTTTTTTTTTTTTTCCCAAGTTTTAGCCTTCCCTTTGGTACTCTGGAGATGCTACTATTTATTGGCCTGAAGTGCTCTTGCTTAGGATGCAACAATAAACAGGTGGCTGAATCCTGCTCTCTGTTGTTGGCCTCAGTGTCACAGTAGTAATTTCCCAGCAAAAATAGAATAATGTGCTTCTGGGAAAGCTGCCTTTGACTCTGGGTATTTACAGAGGGGTTTTGTTACTCTCTGCATGCCTGTACAAGAAGCCATGTGTCTCCCAAGGAAGTGAACTAAAACCAGCAATACCAATACAGCTGCAAGTCTGAAAAGGGCTGTCTGGATGATGCTGTCTGCATTCATCAAGTTGCATTAATTGTGAAGTTACATGTTGCTTTTTATATTATGAAAATAGCAAATGGTACCTCTAACTGTAATTATTTTTTATAGAGGGGTATTCTGGAGTACCAGCACTTTCAGGCAAAGATGTTATTTTAGACCATCTAAATCAGACCCTAGGAGTCTGCTCTGGACTATTGTTGAAGAAAATCAGCTCTGCCTTTATGTGATGAAAAAAGGAATTAGCCCACTTCTGAATGGTTATCACAGGTTGGAATAGCTGCAGTCTTGGGAGAGGGATGGTTTCTGGCTTCCTTGTAGGATTTACAGAGCCCTCAGGGTTTATTATGGCCACCCTTTCCCATCTGAATCTGTTTACCTTTTATCCTGCAACACCACCAGGACTAATCTGCACGGAACCAGGAGGAGTGAAAAGTCAGCTTTGGTGATGTTTCCATCGTTTGGCAAATGTTGGCATGTTTAAGGAAAGTGATTGCTGTTGGAAGGGGAAGGGAGGAGGAGTGAGGCACTCTGGCTATAGTGGCAGAGGATGAAAACATGACATCTGTCACATCTGAGAGTTCTCTGAGGATGACCTGCAGAGGCACCACTTTTATAAGCAGTTAGGAAATTTTCATCACAAAAAGTTTCAAAGCAAATTTTATGCCAACGTCTGTTTCTTCAGTGAAGGCAGATTCCGTGAATGGCTTGGGCATCTGTTGAGCAAGGGAGAAGTTGATTACAAAATGACTAAGAATTAACATATTAATTAAAACTAGTCACCTCTGTAATTGTCTACATAATCCAATAATTCACGTAAATGAAAACCACTAGGAATGCTGAGTGAGTGTTCCAGCTGGTAGTTCTATGTTAAATAACTATTTGCACAGGAAAATTAAAGTCAAATTCTTTCAGTGGGCAACTGGAATAATATGGAAGTGTCCCTATTGAAACTTTTAATGTCCACGATGCATTAAGCTAAGGAAGTTTTAAATATGTCAGTTTTCAGTGTGGAGGAAGACATACTAGAAAGAATTCTTGTCACACAAAACCAAATTTGCTTTGTATTTTTATACTAACCAAGAGACAGACTAATGTGATTTTATAGGTTTAACAAGGGTTTCTCTGCTCAGGGCAACTCTTAACTATTGATCTGAATTTTAAAAGTATGTAAATTTTAAGTGACATAATAAAATTTAATACTGAGCCTTTATTTGAACATGCTAATTCACAGTTCAGATGATATCCATCTTATGTATCGTAATTTACCTTTAAACCAGCCTGAGTGAAGCTGAATGCAGGCTATTCTCATCTCTAATAAACGTGTCCAAGAGTGTCCACCTCATCTTAAAAGAATTTCTGATTAACTGTAGTGAGTGACTCCTTCTGTAGAGTGGTTCCTCCTTCCCCAACAGTTTGTGTCTACAGAGGTAATCATTTCCTTGTCAGGAAAATTAGTCATGGTGCTAAGTTTCAAAATAAAATTGTCAAATTATTTAGTGACAATGTAATAAGATTCCCTGTTTAGGTAAACAGAGATAATATTTCAGTTGATAGTTTAACCTTTAAGTTTTAATTTATTAGTGATAGTGGGACTGTAATTAGTGTAGTGGGACTGTATTATTGCTTACTATTACTGACAAGCCATGCTAGTATGGCCTGCAAAAAAAACCAAACAACCTAACAGAAAATGAAAAGGAAATTTAAATGTATCAATTTGAAAAAAGATTTAAGTATTTTTCCCTGCTTCTGTTATTAAGATTGTTACATTTGTGTTCATTCACACTTACCAGAACATCTTTTGAAAATGGCAAGTATTTTCTGAATAGTTTAGCCTGGAAAGCTCAACAGTTAAGAGTTAGAACAAGTAACTTGAAATAGTGTTAAAATGATAGTCTGTGAAAGAAATAAATCTCCTGTCTTGAAGGAAAGTACTTCCATTCCTATAATTATTTTCAGGATACATAATGATAGGGAATTCTGTGATGTGATATACCTGCAAAGTTTTTATTTTGTCTGCAGGGTCTCTGCTGGGCCTGTGGTCTGTTCCCTCAAAGTCAGCAGGGCCATTTGGTGAGCTTGCCCTAGTTACAAGCATCATGGGAATCTAGTCTTAGTTCAGATACAAAGTCAGAAATTTATAGTGCTTTTTGGTAAGGACCTGGCCTAGGTGGGTCGGCTGTGCCATGACCTGGGCAGGCAGCTGCAGTTCCTAATATCCCTTTCCTAACGCTCCATTCTGACCTACAGGTGGCACAGGACCCTTGGGGTGCTGGTGGCACAACCATCACTGTGGCCACACATGCATCAGGTTGCCTGAAAACGAGTGTCTCTGGGGTGACTAAGAAAGCTTTCCATACCATTGTCTGGGCCTGTGTCTTCTCCCTGTCTTCATTTCCTCGAGTTCCTCAGCAAACAGCCCAGCGTGCTGTCATGTTTTCATCTCAGCCTGCTGTACTTCCACTTTCCACTTGGATCAGACATGGGCAGGCTGTCCCCTGTACTGTTCAAAATACATCCTGTTTCTATATTCTGAGCTGATCAAATTATTTGCATTTGTTTTCTCTGCAGATGAAGTTTTGCCCCATCCACATGCTTTCTGTAAGAATCATACAAGCTAAGAACATCAAGTCAAGAGACCTGTGTGAGTTGTGGTTTGATTGTGTTTTTAGTCACCTGCAGAGTTTACACAGTGAGCAATATTCTTAAGTTCTGAAGGTATGCAAGCAATGTACATAAAGCACAGCAGTAGAAATACTAATGCCAGGGCTATAACTAGATCAAATGTCTCAAGTATTGTTGATTGGAGTACATCTCTAGTGGCATTTTGGGGAACTGATAAAAACCAAGACACCCAGATTAATTTTCTGGGCCGAGAAGGTAGACTTCATTAGAACACCACAATCTGTGAATCTGCTTGGGCAGGAATTTTACTTCATAAGTTGTGAATTTATGGACCTTTTATTGAAATGTACCAATTATACATAAAAATCAAAGGTAAATTAGAGAATCTCGGGGTATTTACTGTTCTCAGATGACCAGTCACAATAAATGATATTGATAGTTCTGTTTAAGGAGAACCTCTGCAGATCCAGTTCTAAGCCCATGCTGAACACACAGGCAAAACAGACTTTTCTCTGTACTTTTGTGTTCCAGTGTCTTTAACTCATTATCTCCCCTTCACAGCCTCCCATGTCTCCTTCTCCAGGTGTGCTGTGGACCAGCAATTCAGTTGCCATTTTTGCAGAGGTCTCCAATGAGTTCCTTAGTTAGGACAGAGACATTGAGATGCCTTTTGTCATATTTGAAACTTCTGGCTTGTGTATTCGTCTGGCACAAAATGACTCAGCTAAAAAAGCATCACTTTGTGATGATTTACTCAAGTTACAGCTGAGACCATCCATGCCTTGCCATGCAGGGCCGAGCCTGGATGTGAGGGAGACCCGAGGGAGTGAATCCCCTGTTGGCTGAGTGACTGCCTGCCAAAGGCTTCCTGTGCTCCAGTGGCAAATGCCACGTAGCACCATCCAGAGGTGGACACTAGAAAGGTGTTAGTGTCACAAGGCCTGTATTTCTGAGTTTCAATGATCTCTTCTATCTACTCTATTGAAGGGACAGTTCCACTTTCGTGCCAAAACCTTGCGGGGCAATGTTATTCACTGCTTGATTCCAGTCTGAAGTATTTAGGCATCTCGGGCTGCAGTGGAAATCTTCCATCAAGTCCTGACTCCAGCTCTGAAAGACATCACCTTGGAGATTTCCTTTCACACCGTTGTCCAGCTTCACAAAGTAAATGTGCTTCCCCACCCTGGCTCTCCCCAAAGGATGGCTGCTCGAGGCACTGACCACACTAACCATAAGGAATGGATATGGGACGGAAGCGAAATGAAGATTCCCGACTCGCTTGTGTCCTCCAGTTCTTGGGCCCACGCTGGCCTTGAGCTGCACCAGATCACCTTGCCTAGTGCCTAACACCTCTAGACAGCCATCATGTCCCCTCTGCATGCTTGTGACTCGGCTGAGCAAGGCAGACTCTGATCTTTGCTGTAATATGCATTCTCCCTTCCTGTAATCATCCTAACAGCCCTTTGTGGAACCAGCTGTAGCTTCAGTTTAACTTTTTAACATCATTGACTGGAACTGGAAGGCCTATGCCTGAGGAATGGCCAGTGGGCATAGTCCACTTTTCTCTTTCTCTTCACATGGGAAACATGGCTCTCAGTGTACTTTGTGTGTGCATGTGTACATTTGCAGTTTGTAGTTACTCAGGAATTAGATGGTTTTCCTTGGTTGTTTCCAAATGGTGATCCCTTTACTAATTAAAAAAAAAAAGTTGTAATATTTAATAATCTCCAGGATTATGGCCTAGCCCTACTGTTCATCTCTAGCATTGGCATCAGGATTTTAATTTTTCTCTGCTGCAGTGACTTCATCAGACTGCTATGTAAGCTTGTGGCTGCCATCTGCTTCACCTAGAAAGCTTCAGACCAAAACCATCAAGAATTCTGACAACCCTGTCTGGAATGAGACTTTCTACTTTAGGATCCAGAGAGAAGTTGAGGTAGTAAAAAATAGAATTTGCACCAATTTGAATAGCTGGGGATCCTCAGTTGACACCATGTTGATCGACTGTGCTGAACAACTTAAGAAAATGCTTGCTTGACAGACTGGTTTGCACAGAACAGTAGACATATGAAGTAGTGTTTTTCTCAGCTATTTACAGACACTGGGGATGTAAATTCCTGTATCTAAGCTAGTCCAGACTCCCTTTGTTGCCACCCAGTGAAACAAGCACTCTTGTACCATACCTCTGTGCTATTTTGGCATGGCTACCTTCAAAAGAGCTTTCCCTCTACTGGTTCTAAGGGAAGAGTAGCAAAGTTGCTGTGGTGTAGACAACAAATTTCATCCTTCCCTAAATTGTGGGATTTGGAGAACTTTGCAAATGAAGAAACTAAGTGTGTTCTTTGGGTGGGTTATCAGTGGGGTGCAGAGCATTGGCATCTTTTCTGTCTCAGGAGACTGGGAACCTCTGTTATTGATTGTTTTCCATTTCACAAGTTTCCCAAGATTTGGTGTAATAATTAGTCTGCTAAAAACATTAACAGACTCCTAAAGGAAAGGACATGCTTACTTATTCTTACTGCTCTGCTAGTGAAACAGCTGCAGAAATCTAGAATTTTTTTTTGTTGTTTCTGCCTAATGGAAGGTCCGTATGTGTTCTTATTTATTTTTTCTATTACCAGAATATTTTAGAATTGGCAGTGTGTGATGAAGATTCACTCAGCAAAGATGACATGCAGTTCACAGTTCTTTTCAATGTTGCTAGAATCAGACCTGGGGAGACAATCCGTGAGACATTTGCTTTGAAATCAGAGGTAAGGGCTGAAAACACAGGGAGAGATTGACAAGACCTCATTGCCCACATTGTCTTCCATGTTAAGTAGGGTTTGAATCTTCATGAACAGGTAGCCTTGTATATCATTATCAATACCTCAACAAAACAGATATAACTTTGCTGTATTTTTGTGATTTCATGAATCTCTTTTTACAAATCCAGAAAATGAAGCAGCTTCTCTCTCATGCTCTCTGAAAGCAAAATATTTTAACAGAAAGCATTGATAAATAATAATCTTTTAGAATTCAAATAAATACTTCCTTACCTTTCACCTTTATTCCACTTCTGCCATGCTTAGGGGAAATTTCCTCTAAAATGGCAACTTATTTATTAAAAACATGAAAACAATTCACCCATTACTTGAATTAAATTATTCTTTCAGGCTTTTTTCCCTGTTGGTGTTCATGCTGGGTTTCCTTCTAGTTGATTCAGATTTCTCTAGGCCATAGTAAAGGAATGTCAGTCCTGCTAACATCTTTGGTTATTTTATTAAGGAGCCCATGAAGGAGAGTTCCCAGTAAACAAAGCTGGGATAGGTCTGTGACAACTCCTGGGCTTGTCTGAGCTGTTGCTGAGGTGTTGCTACACTCTCATTACAGGAAGGAGACAGTCCATAAAAACAGCTACTTCCCACATGCTGAAAGCTGTTAACAGGGATTTTCCTTGTGACCCTGCTGGCTGGTGCTGTGCACTTCTCAGCCAGTGGGTGAGTCACTGGGAAATACAATGATTCAATAACCACTTCAGTCACTTGCCTAATTCATCTCTTCTGGATTCAGTTCAAATGTGATTTAAATGGTTTGTATGTGGAAATGTCTCTGGTCTTACTGACATTTGTTACTGGGCTTCAATGCCTTTCCCCCCCTGCACATTATCTTGCAGAGAGCCATTGTATTTCCTTTTCAATCAAGCTCTCCCTCTCTGATTGTAAGTTTGGAAATGTGTATAATTCTACATATCACAAAATGGGAGATTATTAATCTTATGTGCCTTTCACAAGTCTGGTTTCTGTTGCAATTTCAGCTTTGGGAAAACATGACAACTTTTTTTGTTATTGTTAGCAGAAGATATGTCAGGCCTTCAAGTGCTTTTTAGGTGTGTCTGTGCTGCCAAATTCCTGCAGCCTTCAATAATCTATATTTATTTTACCCTTCTCTTTTTAGACAGAGAGATGCTTTAAGAAATGGGAAAGTTTGGAAGTGGAATTCTGGATGGAAAGAGTGTGAGTAAAATTCCAAAGCTAAAAGGTGTAGATCTGCCACAGAGTAATGATACCTCGGAGGATGAGAAACTTCTTCCACCTCTGTTCCAGCAGTGAACCTAAATTACAGTTTCAATTTTTTTTTTTTTACCTTAACTTCTCTAGCTAATTCCACCTTTCAGTATATTTCATACAAATCTTAAACTTCTGTTGAACATGTATATCTAGATACTGGAAATGTAATACAATTGTCACAAATTGTGTAAAAGTGGTAACTTTTACACAAGATGCGTGTGAAAGTTAATGTGAGTACTCTTCAAATTGTTGATCTTAATTTAACAATGCCTAGAACATTGTGGAATTTCTCAGAGACCATAAAACTTGTCTGTGATATTATAAAATGTATACATGGAATTATGTAGACAATACTAGAAAAGTCACCCAATAAGCAATAGCTTAGTTAAACAAAAAAAAAGCATACAATCAACAAATAATGAAAATAAGACCATCTCCCTCAAAGTGGGAGTAATCAGCATTTTCTGGAGGAGATCAAGTCCCATAAGATAAAATTTATCTGTCTTTTAAATCCTATCACAGGCTTGGTTGAAGAGAACCCCCTAAACTGCACATTCTGGAATATTTGAGCTTAGCATTAGCCAAAAAAAATAATAAAAAAAAAGGTAATCCAGTGAAAACTGTCTAGCTGCATGATCAGGAGAAGGAACTGTAAATAAGACTTTAGTCTTAAACATGAGGAAACTGCAGAAAAAAAATCACTTGTGTTCTTGGTTAATTTCTCCCACAGTGAAGCTCAAGGAGATGTATTAAATGTACCTGTGGGAGGTATCTTAGGAGATGGTATCATGTATGGTGATGGTAATCATCTCCTGCAAATGTGGAAGCATAGGCAGATATATAAAAGGTCAGAATGAGAAGCAGTGCTTGGGAACTGGATTCAGACTAGAAATAGGAGGAACATCCTTCACCATTCAAATTAAAAGGGATTTGGGCAATGTCCATCCTTGGAAATCAAACCTAGTTATTTAAATACATTTTACAGCTGGAATAGTCTTAAGCCTGGAAATGGTGTTTTGTAAAATACTCTGGACACACAAAGGTTGTGTACTACATGATTTCAATGGCCCTTTCAGATATATGAAAGCGTTTCTGAATGTGTGTAACATAGGGGTGTTGGAATATTTGCCTTAGTGAAAGATGCTCTTAGTAGACTCTACAGATTACTCATATTATTAAATAACCACATCCATTCAGTGGCAGACCGAGGTCTTACAAGGTAAAATATCTGGGACAAAGAGTTTTTATTGCTTACCTCTGTGTTTTTCAGTCACACATTTAGCACAGTGGGACCTAATTCTTATTTGCTGTTCATTTGGGATCAGCCATAAGTTATAATATGAACTAGTCAGAAGTGTCTTTCCTAATAAATGTTTGCAGAACATGTTAATAGTAGTCTTTGCTTTCCCCAAGTCATATGGTCATTTGTTAATAGCAGGACATGCTTCCACATATACCAATGTGCCTTTGTTCTGCTGTAACTTTGGACATAGTTTTAAGCATTAGTATTTTTATGGGCTTTCCTGTCTTTCTTTTTGTTTAGCTGCTGTAGTTTGGTTCACATGCTTAGCAGGGGATCATGTATTTAGCCTTTTAGAAAACAAATTGTGATAACTTACCTATATTCAATTTTAAGCGGGAAAGGTCATATAATTGCTATTTACAAAACTAAACAAAACAAACCAAAATCCAGCTATTCACACAGCTTTTTTGTTTGTTATTTGTTTTTGTCTTTTCAGTCCTGGCCCTCCAGAGCATCTCATTACCAATGATGTCCTAGTGGTAAGGTTCACATGAGAATTTATCTTGGAGTCACATCTGCTTCATTTTGATCCTCTCCTCTTCCCCCATTTTATAGAGGGAACACAACCTACCATGCTAGATAAGAGCATGGTGTGCATTTTAAAGTCAGAGATATGGGACAGTGCCCTTTTGTTACAGCTCAACTGTTGCCCTCTCCATACAAAAACAGAAGCTGTGCTTCTTCAAGTCCTCAGCTATTACAGATGTCAGTATGTTGCCAAGATGTGGTTTGTTACTCTTGCAGAACCCCATATTTATTGGTGTTCAGAGTGAAAACTGATTGTGTTTCTCCTAGCACAGCATGGCACTTGGCAGAAAAAACAAAGGTCTATAGAAGACAATAGAAGGTATTCAGTGTGCTTATGACTGGAAGGGTATCTAATGTAACAGCTTTTTTGGGAAATGAGGTTTTTAATAAAGAGTTATTTTAGCTGTTGAAACGCAGAGCCCTGTTTGGGTGTTAGTCAGCATGTGGTACATTACCTGTCTCCTCAGGCTGGCCCAGCAGCTAAGGAGTACCAAGCCCTTCATGCCAGCTCCTCCAAGCCTGTGCATGGTTCCCAGATGCTAGCCCTTGATACTCCTGAGGCAAAGTAACACATATTCTATTCTTTCCACCTCATTTTCTGTGTGAGGCATAAGAGTTGCAATGATTGGCACGCATTGTTCCTGAAATGACTTGGAAAACTGTCCTGGCATGAGTTATTAAAGGTGAACTGGAGTGACTCAGGTGGAGGGTAGGGTGGAATAAATCCATGATTTCCCTACATCAGGGCCAATAAGAAGATGCTTTGTAGACTAATCACTGCCACAATACACAGAAACCCATCATCAGGTATTTTCCCCCACCCTTCCTAAATAATTATTAGATATATATGTTTGGGCACCAGTGTGTTGTACAGAGTTTCCTGATTTTGGGATAAGTTGAATGTGTTAACAATCTCTGACAATGCACCACTGTATTGACACTGAAGCAGTGCAACTTGGCCTACTGACCTGGAATAATGAGCTCTGAATTTTCTCTTGGATTGCTCCCAGCACTGAGACCAGTTCAGTTGGCTCTGTGTTGCAGGTGGTGGTTGTCTGCATGATGTTTCATTATTTGCAGCAGATGTGTTATTTGCTTTCTTCACCCTTTTCCATTCCTGCCTTTTACAGTCCCGTGAGGTTTGCTGCTTGGAAGTGCATGTGGACATTAATGAAAGCAGGAAATACTTGAAAGGTATGGCAATTTCTCTGTGAACTGAGGACATGACCAAATCAACCCTATTATAGTAATTCAGACCCAGATGAAGGCATTTTAGAGTACACAGACACCTAAGAACGTTCTAAATTATAGATAGATAGTGATATATGATCTAAGTAATAAAATGCAATGCATTTAAAAGCCGTGAACTCATCTGTGTTTTTTCCTTGGTGCTATTGAGTTTGGGCATAGTAGACTTGCTGGTGGAAGTGAGAGAGAGTGCTGACTCTGGGAGCACTCTGAGCTATGGGGATAAAGGCAGGAGTACCAGATCCTGTGCTGTAGGAGACTTGCTGGTGGCATGGCTTACAGAGGAGCTACCACAGAAAATTAAACCAGCAGAAAGTTTGCCAACTTTGTTAGCTCTTTTGCCTGAACTGCAGTATTATTCTCTAAACAAGCCTGTTTTTGCTAGAGGGTAAAAATCTCGTGCTGACGGTGCCTGCATCTCATGAGAGAACACAGAAGACGACAGAGGACATTGACACTTTCTACTTCCATTGTGTGAAGGCTTGGGAGCCAGTTCTAAAAGTCAGGCTGCAGGTAACTACAGTGCTACTGTGCCTTCTGCTTGCTTACTTCCAGTGTGATTGAAACAGCAAAGAACTGCATTGGTTCTGTTCTGTGAACACAACACATGCTTTTCGCTTTGTACAGAGAGTTTCTGATAAGGAAGATGACAACAGCAATTTAAGTGACACCTTAACCATACCACTGAAATTTCTCCCTGTTGGACATAAAGTGAAAGTAACCCTTCCCGTAAGACACGTAAGTGTTTCATAATTTATATCTGGAAAGAAGAGTAGAATAATAATTAACACATTAATATTAAAACAAAAACAACCAAAAAGTATGCAGGGTGGGACTTTACAGGAGGCACTGAAAATCTGGATTCAAAACTTCTCTTTTTCCCTCCATTCATGTTCCTGCTCTCATCTCTTTGCTCACAGAATGTGCCACTACAGTTGTACCTCCAACTCAATGATTGGTAAGAGGACTTGTTATTTTTCTCTAAAGGTTTTATTGCCCTTTGAACTGTGAATTCTGAAATCTAGAACACAGTATCCTTTATTTAGATATAAGGAATGCACAAGACTAGAGACAAAATGTAGCAATATTTAAATCATCATTAAAGAGTCACCTCAACAGTTCAAAGCTAAATGTCCTCGGGGCAAAGCAGTCTCACTAAGGTGCAAAAACATTAAGAGAGTTTCAAACGGTGAGGGCCTTAGTCACTGAGTGTCCTTTGCATCAAAGAACCAAAGACTAAGACTAGAGGCGTCTTCAAAAAGGGCAGAAGAAGAAGGCAGAGGGAAAAGAGAATATGAAATAACAAACCATCAGAGCCCATGCATTACCCAAATGACACACGTTCTCTTAAGAAAACAGACTTGTGGCTCTGGTGATAGCAAGACAAAATGTTGCATTGTAAAATAATGTGTCAGACAAGAAACAAACAAAAATTATTTGAATATCTTTTTCGTTGTACAGCTTCTGTATAAATCTGCAGTACAAATGCCCATGGAAGACTTTGTTAGGTTTAAGTCATCCTTTGCTCAGAAATCGTATGAAGCAGAAATAGAAAGGATTCAGCTTACAAAGCTATGGAAAGTCACAGAAGCCCTTCTTTGTTTTTTATATGTATTATCCTTAGCTGACAGTAAATCTTAGAGTGAAACAATAAAGAGACCATGTAGAAGCAAAGAAACTGATGTCTGAGATACATTTCTGTATAAATTGGAACAAGGAATCAAGATTTTTTATTAATTCATTAGATTGCAGTTGCTGAAAATAGATCCATATACATTTTAAACACCAGTCTGTGCCTCTGGATTTATTTGTGTTTCAGCACAGAAAAATTAGATGTGCGCTTAGGGTACGATCTGTGCCAAGGAGAACAGGAGTTCCTGCAGAAGAGGAAGAGAGTCGTGGCTGGTGCTCTGAAAAAGGTTCTTCATCTGGAAAGAGATCTACACGGACATGAGGTCTGTGCTTTGGAATCCAAGCATGGGGTGTGGGTCTGCTGAATTAGGATTGGCACAACTCCCCTCAACATTTCTAGCAATGTTTGCATGTTGCCAACAAACGCATTGATTTGCATGGCAGCAGAGCAGAGGCTCTCAGTGTGGCATACCCCATGCCCATGCAGAATTTCAGCTCAGGTATTCTTCCCTCCAGTCTTTTCAATGGGCCAAATTACCAAGGATGTAATAACACCACTCTTCAAACACAGTTTCCAACAGTATGGTGCTGCAAGTCAGCAAGATAAGGGGCATTGTGTATTAGATCCAGCCGAGTCAGGCAACCCAAAACAACAGGAAAAAAGGAATATTAGAAATTCACCTCACATAAATACTTATTAAATCAGTGTAATGACACTTCTTTAGGCTTACTTTCTTCTTTCTTCATTCTCAGAGCACTTCTTACAAAAAGGTAAAATATTTTGTGGTGAAGAAAGAACATTAGAAAGAGCATTTATAACAAGCTGAAGTAGGTTTTGTTGCTAAAATGCAGGGTGTCTTTTTAAGGGAAAACTTATTTTCTTACTGGAATTATATTTGATAAATGAATGCTGTCCAAAGAATCATCAGAGTACAAAAAATCTTCCTTAGTCCATTTTAATTCCATTTATTGCAATTTGTTGTTGTTTATAATAAAAGCATATAATTATCTTTTTTAATCATTGCAATTCCAATTATAGAGAGCAAAGGTAGGAAGGAAGATTAAAATGACTGCACATTCAAACTCATCCAAGCATTGGGGTTAAGTGTCTCTGGAAGTTCATTTAATAAGGTACTGGTAAAGATTGGCTGAGTGGTGATTTAATTCACTGTCCTCCAATTAATCTGCTGAAGAAATTCTGAGAGCTGCAATTAAACTTTTCTAAGAGCCAAGAGAGTAACTTTCTGAGGATAATACTTGTGTTTTGGACAGGTCCCAGTAATAGCTGTTATGGCAACAGGTGGAGGTCTCAGAGCAATGTCAGCTATGTTTGGCCACCTCTTAGCTCTCCAGAAGCTCAATCTGTTGGACTGTGTCACCTATCTCACCGGGGCTTCTGGCTCAACATGGTGCGTATGGAAGGCGAGATTGGATTTGGAATTGTTACTTTTCCACACAGTGAGAGATGCATCTCTTTCAAAGACTTATATTTTTAACAAGTGAACCTAGTTCCCTTGTGAAGCTCTTACTGTTGGCTCTCAAATATAACTTCAGTTTAGGCTCACTGATTCTCTTTCATTAATTAAAGTGATTGTGTAAACGTATCAATTTTCCAAAATCATATAAATAAATGGGTAATTTGCTAACATTTCTGCTCCTTAGGACCCTGGCAGACTTGTATGAGCATCCTGACTGGTCACAGAAATCTCTGGAGGGGCCACTTAAAGCAGTGAAAGAACAAGTGACAAAATGCAAACTCAACCTTATGTCTATAGACCATCTGAAGTATTATCACAAGGAACTTGCTGAAAGGGCAAAAGCAGGACACGTGCCATCCTTTACAACTCTGTGGTCACTTGTTCAGGAGATGTTCTTACATGAACGGGTAGGTACATGGTCTACAAATGTAGAGACATTTGGGAAAGAGCCACTTACTTTCTTTAGAGCTTTACTCTTTGAGGACACGATGTAATGTGTGTAACAAATCCAAAGAGACTGAGCCATCCCAATGTGGTTTGTAAACTACCACAGAAGATCTTGTAGCCAGGATTTTCCAGAGTAGATAATAATTTGAAGGTGCCTCAGTCCTAGGATGCTCAACAGCTAGCAGCTTCAGTATGCAAACTTCCAGAAAGAACTGAGGAATTCCCACCCCCCACCCTCCCTGAAATTTGGATTGTTAATGTCTGTTTCTAGTTTGACATTTAAAAGTTAGAGTAATCTGTCTCCATGTGAATATTAACCTCAGCTTAGTAAAGATCTGTGGGATGCAGCTGCCACATGCATAGAGACACTTGGATATTCTAGTGAAGAAGTTACTAGGTACCAAAAAGGCAACCAGGGATGAGAGTGCAGGAATCTGAAGGAAAAGGTCTCTTACAAAAATGTGACTTACAGATTCCTCTGTGTTGTAAAATATCTGCTATCAACCTTTAAATCTTTATTTGGGTAGATTGTGCCAGTGTTATGCTCTTACACATGTTTACTGTGATATTTTTTATCTCACTGATTAGCCAAGAAAGTACAAACTCACAGACCAGAGGAAGGCATTGGAGCATGGACAAAACCCCCTGCCTTTCTATGCAGTCCTTAATGTGAAAGAGGAGAAGTTTGGTACTTTCAAATTTAGAGGTAAGTGTCCCTGGAGTCTCTTCTGATTCTGGGTATGGATTAAGAAGGATTTGGAGAGAGTGTATATGTGTGGACAAAAAAAGGGGAATACATCTGTTGCTTTCCCTGACTCAGTGTTCATCTTTTAATAAAATGTTTGTCTTTTTTACAAATTGCTGTGTGTTGGTTAGAAAGGGCACATCTGCTGGATAACATCCTCATCCATAAACAGGACATTAATTAAAACTCTCTGGTGAAGTCCTATTTTTGCAAGAGACATTGTGAATGAGTCTGGGCATATAATCTGATCTTTTCCTGCCATGCCTATAAAAAGGCTTTGATGCTTCCTTAGTTTCTAGGGGTGCTGTGAAATGTAATTGTCACTTCCTAAATATGACACTGATGAAAGTGGAGTGGAGCATGATTGCTGTGATGGGTGTGATATGACATACTTTGAATGGGCACAGGCCAATTTCAGAAAAAGGAGTTAAAAGCAGTAGATACTAGAAAGAAAAGCAATTAGTCCTTATGTTTATTTAGGTTTATAGCTATATTCTACTGTAATGCCTGTGCAGGACAGCTTGAGCCAGGAAACTGCACATCCCTGCCACACTGTGACAATTTCCAGTGTGGTGCTGATGTCTCTTCAGGCTGCTTTGCTGTATCTTGTAGGCTGGCAGTTTTAGATTAATAGAGTTTCATGCCAGCCACTCCTTGCAATTCACACCACTCTTGCATCAAGTACAGCTGATGCTCTTGATTTAGAGAGGCAAGTGCAATCCCAGAATCTTTATATAGAAAAAGATGTCTAAGCATTTGAACCTAGTGCTAGAGCTTTTCTGAAAAAGCTGGTTCCTTTTGGTTGCAAATAATGTCTCAGTTTGTATGGAAGTAGACAGTGCAGCTTGCAGTACAAATGTGTGGATAGTACAGAGCTGCTGAGACAAGCAAGATCCTTGGGAAGGTTTTGGGGTTTTATTTTTATTGCAGCAAACATGCCTCATGTAAATTCTTTGTAGAGTGGACAGATTTCTCTCCTTACGAAGTGGCCATACCAAAATATGGAGTCTCCATTCCTTCAGAATATTTTGACAGCGAGTTCTTCATGGGAAGGCGAGTGAAGAAGCTGCCAGAATCTCGGATCTGCTATCTGGAAGGTGACATAGCAGTGCCATGTAGTTAATCACAACATGGTAGAAAGCAAGATATTTGCTAGCCACAGGCACATCACTCCTTGCCAGCATGTCTGCTTTAGGCCTTAAATCAATGGGCTTTTTACCCCTTTCATACACTTCTGCTCTTTGTGACTCTTCTTTCCTTTTGTCCTCCCTTTTCACCTGGGTAGAGTTGGGAAAGTTGCAGCATGGTTCCTGTTCCATTGTCTAAGCCAAGCAAGATTGTGGAAGAGGCAAGTTGAGGAAATAATAAGTATTCCTTCCCTGATCAGTCTCCAACTCTTCAACTTCATAAACTATGTTTCTAGACAAAGCATTACAGGGAGAATTGGAAGCAGCTGAGAATAAAATATGTTATCTAGAACAAGCCACAACGGGAGGAGCTCCTTGAGCTTTGTCACTAATCTTCTCTGCTCATAAGGATGAAGGAAGGCCTTTTGACCTCCAAAAACTACTTTGACTGGCTGTTTTTCCACCAAAGGTGAAGAAAGGGAAAAAGCAGCTAGTCAGAGGAACCCATCTGTCCCAGGCAGATTTTAAATCCTTATAAGTGTTTTAGTTTTGATACCAAAAGCAAGGGTAGAGGAGAAAATACCCATATTTTTCTCACTATGGAGTCTGCTAGAGATTAAATTTGTTCCTCATGTGAGTACCTGGCATAGAGCTTAATGAGGAAGGATAGATCTTACTTTTCCAAAAGCAGACTCACATATGGGGCCAATTCTATTTTGAACCTGGACCAGCTGCACTCCACAGAAACAAAACATGCTTGGAAGTAAAAAAAAAAAAAAAGTCTTAGATCAGTTTAAATACTAAATCAGTTTAAAGAAGGCCTTTATATGCTTACATGGTTTCACCATGCTTTCAAAGCCTACTTTCTCTCACAGGGACACAGGAAACTTTTTACAACATCATTTGGCTAACTGGTATCTCTTATTTTGTTACTCTGTACTATGCAGTGAATGTTCTGTGTGTAGTTACCACCTGAAAAAGAGCACTGAAGTGCTTCCACCACTATGTTTGAACTCTCTGAGACCTGCTGCTTAGGTTGTGTCATGATGGGGTCAGGTTGGGTGGGCTAATAATGTGTAGCATGGATATTTGCAATAGTCAGTGTTAACATGCAGTAGTGCAGTACTTTTTCCATGTGGTTTGACTTGCAGGTCTTTGGACAAACATCTTTACTAGGAATTTGCTGGATGGCTTGTACTGGTCCTCCAATTCAAATGAATTCTGGGAACGATGGTCCCAAGATATGGTAGATATAGGTAAGAGTTTCTAAAGTGGTGCCTGGCACACTGTAGATCTTCCAGCATGATTTTAATCTGTATCAGAATGATTGCTCTGTCCTTTTCCCTTCTCTCTTTTTCCCAGAAGCATGCTTCATGTTAGTACAAATGTTTTTCATTTAAAGTTTCCTCCTGGTCTGTTTAGTGACTCTGCCTATGACTGCAAATGAGAAGGTTGGCTTTTACTTGTGGGCAAAAGTACAAAGCCAATGTGTCATTTGAAAGAGTAAAACACAAAAGCTGCACTGGCTTTGAAGAAAACTAAATATCTCTTTGGTAAATGACGTGGGTCATGTGCACATATTTTCCAGCAGCCTGCAAGAAACAGATGAGAGGGACCCACAGGAAGACAGCTAGGGCAGCTAGCCAGCAGAGATGCCTGGCAGGGCAGATTGCTGTTGGATTTTTCTCTGTTTCATGGTTTCTTCTCTATTTCAGAAAAACATTCTCCTGAGGAAGACGTTACTGTTATTGAGCCTCCATCTTGTTTGTCAGGAAAGTTGTATGAAATGTTTCAGGACATTATGACCAAGCGTCCACTCCTGGGAAAGTCACATAACTTCCTGAGAGGCTTAGAGTTTCATAAGGATTATATCCATCAGAAAAAATTTATTGAATGGAAAGGTAACTGCAACAAAGAGTTAGCTGCACTGTGCAGGTAACATCTCAGATTTTGTTTTTTGGACTTTGGAAAACTCATGTTTGTTTCAGGGTTTGGAAATCGGCTTAGTTGGACCTATGTTCATGGTGTTTGATTCTTTAGGGTAACAGGCTAAAATGAACTAGTCCATGGACTGCTCTTTCACTTCCAGAAGTTACCTGTAATTTGTGTCAAGAAATGCTTTTCTACAGGAATTTTGTCACTCTGCATAGGTACAGTAGTCAAAAGATTTAGGAAGGGCAGAATCTTTTGAGGTCAAGAAACAAAGGTAACACCAGAAGCATAAAATAGCAGGTTATTATGTGGATGAGGTGAAGCTGCAAGCGTGTGGTTGCCCATATGTCTGGTGTTTCTGCCTGATGGATTATCTATCCAGAGACCCCTCAGAAACAGAATCACCAAAATCCATCTACAGAAAGTTAAAGTCACATAAGTTTAGACTGTAAATATTAAACAAACAGATGCATAAACTTGATGTATAAAGAGTGATTTTCTGTGGCCTTTGCTCTGTAGGTAGGCAGAGTGAACAGCAATAGTTTTACCTCAAAAGCCGTGAAACAATCTGTGAAATGATAGGAAGGTGATGGAGCTGAGGTTTTCTGCATCAGAAACCTTCCTATAATCCCAGCATCTTCATTTATTCCATGAACAGGTAGCAGTGTGGGAGGACCTTACATTATTGAGGTTAATCTGACTTCAGCCAGAAAGCAAATGTTCTCTGCCTCCTCTGAGCCCTTCTCTTAGGCAAGTTGCATTTTCTCTCCTATTTTAGGCAAGTTAAGATGTGTTTTGTCCCTCTCTGCCCTTGCTACATAGTTTGCTGACAATGGAGAGAGGTGGTGGTGCTTTTCTGTGGATTAAGGCAGAGCCCACAGTTTGCTATCTGCTTTTTAAATGTTCAGTAAACAAAAAGTCTGTGTCCTGAAAGAGTCTGCTCTAAGAAAACATGAAAGAAGGAAAAAGAACAAGTAGCATAAGAAGGGTGGGGGAGAGAAGGAGCAAGCAAGCAGTTTTGGGAAGTGGATGAAGGATGAAACTGTCAGTCAATAAATGTTATAAAACATAAATGTCCTTATATTTGCTGACAGTTTTATAAAGACAAATGGGTAGAGGCAGATTTCAAGGAGGATTTTGAGGAAGCGAACACTAATGACTATCTCAGGGTAGATATTCTACAAATAAAGTAAAATATGTGGAAAGCATGAAATGCAGAGTGGAAAATGGGAAACTGAAAGTCTGGATTGGGAAAAATTTGCAGGTTTTCCATCTTCTTCTTGTTGCCATGTATGGATCCATCTCTAGGAGTAAGAGGACCTGCCAGGTCTGTGAGCAGAAATTTCAGTTTTGTGGTTTATGAAGTCTTGAGAATAGAGCTTTGTTTTGAAGGCTTCCCTGCAGCTCAGGTTATCTGACATATTAAAACAAGACTTTCGATGCCAAATTTTCCTGATGAGGAAATGAACTAATGGTCTGGAATTGGCAAAATGCATTTACAGTAGCATTCATGCTTCCAAGGGTATTTCTGAGACAGGTTTTCTTTAAAATCTCTATTTGGATGTGGGATGGAAGAAGGGATTCTCACAAGAAAAATGTCTACTTCTAGTTCACATATACAGCCATGAATAAATGCTGCAAAGTTCCATCTCAGTGTTAAGAAAACAGGGGTAATGGAATTTCATCTAAAAATCTTCACTGGGCCAAATAAAACTAAAAAGTAAGCTCTGTTTCTTCTGTGAGGGACTGCAAACAAATGTCTCTTATTGCAATTGAATCTGTGAATTCTCAGCAGCCTTGAATGCTAAAATAAGCACATTTTGTAAAAACTTGACAGTGAAGGAATGGAAAAATTATAAATTATTACTTCAAGCTGGTGTGAAACATTCCAGGCTATGGAACAAGCTAGATTTACTCTGCATGGTTTAAATCAACACTACAGAATGAGGCCAAGGAAGCAGAGTGTTTGAATGAATTGAAATGCTGGAATTTACCAACAGTATTTCTGTGATCAACAGTCCCTTAAAATCCCTAAACACAGCAATTTAAGGCCCAAGTATTCTGCTATGGGCTTTGCACAACCTCATTTTGTGAATTTGAGGAACACTCTTAAGTCACTATTTTGATATTTAAAACTATGGCAAAATGGTCTCTGTTTCCTGGGACTGAAAGTCTACTAGAGGAACAGTAGAGGACTTGTTGTCTACAGGGCAAGCTGGTGAGGTTGCTACCAGAGAAGTAAGATTCTAGCTATAAGGAACTGGCTTTAGATTTCAACTTACCAGTTGGTGTAATCCCCTTTTGGCATTAATGTGAGGTTTAATTAATTCAAGCAGTATTTTAAGCTGTTGGTAGGCGATGTAGGCATGATAAGGTATTTTTTTACAGCATAGCTAACACAGTTTATATGATATTGTTGAAAGCGAGTTGAAGTCAGACTTTTCAACCTGAGAGAGGAGTCTAACCCTGTGAAGGCAAAAGCAAAAAAAAGAGCAATGCAAAAGTGCAACGATGTATTGCATTTGTTAGTTGTGTTGCTACACTGTGAAATTGTTTTTGTTGTTTGCATTTTTCCCAGTTCTTAGGGGGAAAAAAATCTGTTGAAGTCTGTATTCTGTGAAAAATGACTCCCCAGAGCAGCTGTGAGCTCAGTGGAGTCTGTGTCTCTACCTGCCCTCTCTCTGGCTGCCTCATGGCCTGCCTTTGTGAGTGTGCCTGGAGAGTGTGGGAACAGGCCAGGTGTGCCCAGATGTGCAGTTTGAAGGGCATGCTAGTGGGCTGAGGCCATGTTTATGGAGGGAGGTGACCCTCATCTTGAGGGTAACCAAGGAGCTCCCCTTAGCATATAGCACAGACAGAATTACTCACTCCTCCTTTCCTAAAAATGCACCACTAACTGTATTAAAATGTTTTTCAGACACTGTGCTGGACGGTTTCCCTAACAGTCTGACACCACTGCAGAAATATCTTTGTCTGATAGACGTTGGCTATTTCATCAACACCAGTGGTGCAGCACTTTTCAAGCCAGAGAGGAACGTAGATGTCATTATATCCCTTGATTATGGTTTGGGGCATGTGTTCAAGGTGAGAAGATTAATTTCCTCTGCTCCTTGAAGAGTAAAACTCTTCTTGTCTTATTAAAACTTTTAAGTGGCTGTCTAAATCTTAATCATATATCACCATACCTTGAAAGATGAAAGAAACTTCCTTCAAGAACAGAACTATAGAATCTCTTAAGCTCTTTTTTTTTTCTGTAGGGGATTACAGCATACACTTCCTAGAATCCTCAGGGAATTGCAGTAACAATTGTTTGCTGGAGACATGCCTGTGTCTCTCTTGGTCTGTCATGATGAATTCTGACTGTGACTTTAGGTCCTTCACTTAGGCTTGTAAAAAATGTTGTAGGGTGATAAGTGGCCTTGTCTGACTTATGTTGAGTGGTGGTCGAAAGTAAAAGGTTGTACTGTGGCTACTTTGGACTACACATTCATTTCATAGTATTTCTAGGGAATGAGTTAAGATGCCATAATATTTTCAGGATACCTGAGTAAACCTGATTCTTTTCTCAGAGCTTTAACTCCATGACATTCTGTGCCCACAGCAATTAGAGATGACATACAAATACTGCAAGATACAGAATATCCCATTCCCCAAAGTGGAGCTAAGTCCAGAAGAAGAGAAGAACCCAAAGGAATGTTATATATTTGCGGATGCAGAGGACCCCAGAGCACCCATAGTAATCCATTTTCCCTTGGTGAATGACACCTTTAAGGAATTCAAGGAGCCAGGTAAATGCAGTCACCAGAACTCTCCCCTGGTGTGTGTTACGTGCCCACTGATGGCAGGCAGAAGAGCAGCCTCCATACTCCTGCTGGCTGCTCTCCACTTGAAAAGCATGGAGGACACAGTCCTGGGCAACTCAGTGCCACGCTGGCTCCTGCAGCCCTGCCTGTGGCAGATGGCTCGTGTCACTGTCCCTTGGCAGAGCCGCAGGTCTTCCTGTCTTGTGCCTGACACCGTGTCCTGCCAAGAGAGATGTGCAGAGTGCTGGAGTTTTTCTGGCACTGGCAAGAGGGAGAGTAAAGAAAGGCCCAGGGAGCTGTGGGAACAGGGAAATAAGGGCCTCCTGAAGGACCTGCTGGGTGGGCTGGAAAGCAGCAGCAGGAGCCATCCAGCCCCAGGGTTGGCCCTGCACCCCTGCCTTGCCCAGGCAGGCTGCCTGTAGTGGAGAGGGAGGTGCAGGTGCAGAGGGAACTCCTTCCCAGGCATTGAGGGACAGCAGGCTTGAGCACAGGGACCTGGGCAGGGAGAGCATGTGTGGCTGTGGTGGGATAGGCTCCATCTAGTGCTTGGTAGGAGCTGGGAGAGAGCAGAGAGATGTGGGGCCAGCCTGGGATGTGCAGCTATCTCTGCTCAAGTGCCTGGGGTGAGCTTCTTCCAGTTTTACCCGAAATTTTACTGGGGCCCTGAGTGGGACCAGAGCAAAATGTAAGTCTCTGAGGGAGCATTTGGGAAGGGTAGGAATAGTAGCAAAAAGTAAAGGTACTTTTCTGCTCTGATGTTCAGTGATGCTCAGTGAATATGCACAGTAAGAGCTAAATGAAGAAAATCACATATAGAAGCTGTTGATGAAAAGAGGGGATACTCTGTAGAGAGAGCTAGGCTTGTTCAGTGGAGGCTGGAAATGGTCCAAATAGCAAGGTGTGATGAGATCCAACTACTGAGCAGTGGGTGGCAGGTAAAGCAGGTGAAGATTTTGGAATCTCTCTGAATGACAAATAGATGAGATGCTGCAGAGCAGCTGCTGCCAGTTGTCTGTGCTCCAGGCCCAAACTGGTGAACATTGACACTCACCTGCATGTCTCTGAGCAGTCAGTGATTCATCCATCAAGCTGACAGCCAACGACTGAAGTGGGTGGGTGGAGGAGGGGGTCCTTGGCAACCTGCTTTCATGGATTTTAAGTTTAACAGTGGAGCTTTTTGTTTCTGGGGGGTGAGAGACATCTTGTGGAATGTGGGTACTTATTTTTCTTGTTTTTAACTATTTAAAGTCTAGAAGGACTCAGCCTGTGAAGTGCCCGTTTGCAGTGCAGCAGTTTCAGACTGTGCTTTTGTGTGCTTGAGGCAGATGCAGGTTTATCTGCATGTGGACAGCATCGATATTACATCTCTGAGTATTGTGAGGCCCAGTGAAGCAACACTGGATATTTTTAATTCAGCCATTTCTGGTGATAGCCTGTGCCTAGCACCCTGAGACCATGCTGTTCAGAAACCACTAGGCTATACTAAAAGCTGCTGTGTCTTTTTTCATGAGGTTCCAGTTGAAATCCTAAGGAATATCTGAGCAGTCTGTTTGTAGCCCTGCTGATTAGTCATCTCACATTACATTGGTGTTTTGGGCATGTTTGGTTCAGACTGCAAGAGACTGGCAGTCTCATATTTACATTTCTACAAAATTTTTAGCTACATTTCTTTGCTGGTTTTTTTTTGCCTAAGTCCTTGGTGCAGTAATTAGGGGGTCCTTTTAAGCAAAAGCATTGATGTAACAGGGAGTATGGATGCTGCCAATTCCAAGAGGCATAACCTGAGGCCAGGTTGGAGTTTGCTGAGAGTCTGATGTAGGATGCTCTGGTCCCTACACCCTCTGCAACAGGCAGTCCTGTGTGGTTAGCATCACAAGGCCTCCTTGTATGTACTAGGCTGTCCACTCACTCCAGCTGGCAGATGTGCACTTGTCACCACTAATCCAGGGGCAATCATGGATTTTGAAAAGTGTTCCAGGCGTGTGCCTTTGTCTGAGAGTCAGATTTCCAGGGTTTGGGAAAGGATGTGGACCCATGGGTGTGCTGCCCAGGAATGATGTCTGCAGGGGCAGGACAAAGAGGAATGTAAGAATTTGTGCCAGCTCTGCTGAGGGATCTTCAGGTCTGAGCAGGAGGGGAAGGAGGAGGAGCTGGGAAAATTGACCAGGGATGGCTCTTTCAAGCTGTGGAGTAGGTTTGCAGTATATTCCTGGGGGCTGTTTTTCACAGGGAGTACTGCCAAGTAGATCAGTCCCCTACAGCACCGTGTGATAGTACTCCAGATTCATCTCACTCTGGTGGCTTTTGTCTTTCTCTGCAGGGGTAAAGCGTGGTCACTCAGAGATGGAAGAAGGCAAAGTAAATCTGGAGAGCAACTGCTCGCCGTACTACCTCATTAGGCTAATCTACTCCTCTGAAAATTTTGATAAGCTTGTGAACCTGAGCAAATACAACATCCTCAATAACAAAGACCTGCTCCTCCAGGCGATCAGGTGTGCTGTAGAACGAAGGAGAAGTAGAAGGACTGGGAATTTCTCCAGCTACTCTGGATACCCCTAGGCTGGGTTTTTGCACTGTTCCCCACAGAAGGCTATGGCAGCACATTGCAGCACATCACAGTCACATTACAACACATCACAGTGTTCATTATTTGCAGAAAACTGAGGAAACCCGTACATTTCTTACCTTGCCGTGTTCAAGCTCCTAGCTTTCAAAAGGGTTTATCTCTTTCCCCCACATTTTCAGCCCACGAGAGCCTCACAGTGTGGTCTTACTTGTTAAGAAATTAGAGTCCTGGTTAGCAGAGACTTCCCAGGATCTCCTTGATGTTACAGTATATGGTGGTGGTAATAGTTCTTTCTATGAGCCTGCCCCTTCAGCCCTGAGCCCATTGTCAGTGTCCTTTCAATACTTCATTACACATCAAGTCCTGGCCATTTGCATTCAGTGACGTCCAGATTTTCAGATAGGCTGAGCAACTAGAATTCGCACTGAATTGGTGGGCTCAGCTTTGAAGTCAGGCATATATATGTGAATAGTGGCCAAACTGCAGTGTGGACAATTGCACTCTGTCTGGCCGATTCCCCTTGCTGATTTAGAAGTTACTCCTTTTTTCCGATCCCCTGCAAGAGTTTGGCACAGAAACGCTGCTCCAGACTGCCACAAAGGGGGCAGCTACATTTCAGGAGAGAGAACGGCAGCAGCAGTGAGTTCTTTTGAGCATTGGCTGGAGGAAAAGTTCTTCATAAAGCACAAGTGATTGTATTGATTTATATCAGCAGTGCCTTTATGGATTAAAATGCAAGAGCCTGAAACAAGTTTTTCATGGCAGAAGCTTGAGAGGAATAATTACCACAGACTCAGGTACTTTTAATTTAGTGATCATGACTGAGATGTAAGCTGGTTCTCCTTACAGATGTAAACTAAATGTAGGACAACATAACTCACTAACAGAGTGCAGAGCCATTGTATTTTCACACACAGAAGGTTTTTCCCTTTATAGTCTTCTATCCTTAAGATCACAGGCAAAGAATTTTTAATAGGTGCTACATAAAATAGAGCACAAATTTAAAAAAATAGGACACACATTTTCCTCCTTGCTGGAGGAAAATATTTGGAAAATGACACCTGGTTTTCATTTGCTTTGGAATGCAATGAGAGACTGCCTTGAGCTACAAGCTTGGAACATCTTTATAACCCTCCATTACATTAAAAAGATGATAGGGAAGGGTGCTGAACAATATAAAACAGAACACAGAAGTCGGAGAAATTTGCAGTCTTCCTCATGCTGAAGGATTTGGACCTGCTTCTGGATTATTTGTTCCAAACACAGCATATTCATCAGGTCTTCCAAGGAAAATCTTACATATTTATTCTGTGTTGGCAATGTACTTGAGATCTAGAATTAGTTGTACTTGAAATCCAAAATCAGACAGAGAACCAGAAAGAGGGGGTCTGTGGTTTTGGGATATGCAGGCAATGTTGAAGCTCAAAGGGAGAGCATTTACAAAAGACTCGATTGCCTGAAGCCTGCATCTACTAAATGCTGCTTCTGCTGCAATGGCAATGGCTAAGCCTCAGCAATGCTTCTTGTTGAGCCAAGGAATACCATCCAGAATTGAGGAGTCTTAACAACTGGAATGCAACTGTGCTTCAGGATTCAGATCATGAGAAGTTAAGAACTAGTCAGATACTGGCTGCAAGACAAAACATAAAGAGCCATTTTGAGTGGAGAGTTGGTCCAGCTGGACGTGTTACCTTCACACAGGAGAGCAGCACAGCATTGTGTGACACACAGGGTGTGTACAGGGTGAACACCATTTCCATGCTCCTCTGGCTGGTCCTAGAAAGCTCTGCTGCTCCAAGAAATATCCCTGTTTTGTTCATGGGCTACAGAGAACAATCTGTAACCTTTGTGAACCCTTGTGAACCTTGGCAGCACGTACCCAGCAGCAAGGCAGCTCAGCCACACCAAGAAAATTTGATCTCTCAAAGTGCTCCACAGAGTAATAATTGGGGCAGGTTTGGTGCATTCATAGTGCTGCTAACACAAACAGAAAACTCCAGTAAAATGTGAAGGAGCCACAAAACCACAAGGCTTTCAGGTAACCCACAGTAGGTGGGGAATTACGGTTCTGAGGAATCTGTTAAATCCTGTTACAAAGGGAGGGAGTGAGGGAGCTGTGGGTGGGGAAGGTGGTGTGACTCTGCTGGGAGAACTGTCACCAGAGGTTTTGCCGACACTTAAAGTCAGGTTGGGAACTGCTGTCTAATCTTGCAGCCAGAGGCACAGACAGGCATGTGCCCCTTCATTTCCTTGGTGCCCCATGTAGTACCTCTGTAGCCTAAAATGATAATAGCTTTTTCAAATATATTTTTGCATTTCAGAGCCTGAAATTATGTGAGGGCTGTGTCATTGCCCATCAGAGTGCTTTTTGTTTCATTTTGGTTGCCTCTTTGTTTTTATAACATGATGTGGGTGTGGCACATGGGAACACAGTTTAGTGGTGGCTGTGGCAGTGTTGAGTTAACAAACTGGATGGTTGTAGAGGTCTTTTCCAACCTAAACAATTCTATGATTATATGACACTGAAGGAGTGTGTTGCTGGCTTGATGGTGTAGCAGGAGGACCTGGAGGGCATTTTTGAGGACAGAGGCTGCTGGAGAACTCTGCAGGCTGGAATGACCTACACCTTGCACAGTCTTGTGTGTGCAGCTTGTGGGAAGTGGTGGCTGGCACTCAAAGCACTCCTGAGCTCTGGTTCAGGGCTGATTTGCACTGCCTCAAAACCACAGAAATATAAAGCAAAGTTTCACTGGCATAAGGCTGATCAGTGACCTCAGGACTGGTCCTTGTTCCCTTTAGGGCAAACATGGAGTCTAAGGGCCTCTGAAATTTTTTTGTGGTTGCTCCTCCGTGGTTGTGTTTTGTTTTTTTTCCCCCTTGGCCCTATTCTTGCCTGGCCTAGTACCACACGTTGTGCTGTGACTGAACAGAGTGCATGCAAAGCAAAGCAGGCATTTCCAGGGGAAAGCTACCTCTCTGCATCTCACCAAAAATAAAAGCATGTGCCAGGTCTTGCTGGTCTGGTGTTGTGTTCGCTTAACCACTGAAGCTGAATGCATGCCTGCCAAAAACCTCATCCAAAATGCACTCCAGATTACTGCTCTCTGATGAACATTTTGCTGGAAAACCCCCACAAATACAGACCTTGATATCTGCTGCCAAACACAAAGGAAATGAGACTGTTCTTATAACTATTAGCTGCTCCTCATAGAAATCGCTTACTTGTGTCTTTTAACTGTTTAATAATATAGTAATTAAAAATAAAATATTGCAAAAGAGCACCAGACCCATGAAAGTCTTTATGTGCTTAAACAGAAGACAAGGTTTTTTTCCAGGTGTGTAAATGCTACTTATGCTAAATGCCTGCTGAGAACTTCACAGGGCATTCACTGGTTTCAAGACTGAGCGGAAGAAATCTGGGAGAAGATTTTCTGGTTTACAAAGGTATGGAGAGCCTGGAACAAAATCTTCCTCCTGTGATAAAACCTTCTTCAGTGGAATGGCAAAAGGCTGTACTGAGCCACAGCCAAGGCACATGTTTGTTCAATTAAATGGTACGTTTAAGATACTGAAGCTGTTTTTTTTTTTCCCTCACTTGAAAAATTATCATCAATAACGAAATGTATCAGTTTCCCATTACTTTGATGTGCTGGGTTTTTCATTTTTCATGACAGGCAGCAGCTCCAGCTGGGGTAAACAGAGGAGAGAGATGGACTAGCCAAAAAAAATGAAATTATGAGCTCACCTGTTGGATGCCTGTGACTGATCTGAATCAGACTGAACACAAATTTAAACGCTGGATGTTGCATGTGCCAATATGACATTTACATAAACTCAGTGCAGAGTGCTCCCCTCCCCTACTACTGGAGAAGTAGTCAGTGCAGAGGAGAGGGCTGCAAGCAGAGAGCAAGAGTGATGCTTCAGACTGCATAAAAAAGGGGTGAAGGCTGAAGTCCTTGTCAGAGGAGTTAAGGACTTGAAGTTTTAGCTTCCACCTGTCAGGGAAGAGCTGCCAGCCGCTACATTGTCCTGAGGAAAAAATGCCATTTCTCTCCAGCTTCATGCTGGTAACTTGTCTTTGGCTCAGAAGCAGAGATAAGTAGGGGGAAAAATACATATTCTTCCCCATGATTACACCATACCTTAGCATGTGAAGCTTGCTGTCGGGGGACTAGACTTTCTCCTTGCCATCCTACTTTTCTTCTCCTTTTACACTGAAACACTGACAGTTCATGCCTTATTTAAGTTTCAGATTCCATTAAAAGTGAGTAACACTGCAGGACTTTTTTTTTTTCCTGGTAGCTTCATTCAGAAAGAATTGGCAAATAGAGAATTGTTGGTTAGTGTGTTGTAAAAAGGAAAGATTGTGGAGACCACAAAGCACTGTAGGAAGTATATAACATTACTTTGGCTGCAAGGACCACCCAAGCCTCTTAATTCTATTTTGTTGGTATCTGCAAATCTACTTGTACATGGCTGTAGTTAACTCACAGCTTGCACCTCATGCTCTGCTCACTGCTCCCCATTCCTGTCTCAGAATCGTTTCATCTGAGCAGTCTGGCTTAAAGGTCCCCCTGCCCTTTGGTTTCATGCCTTGGAGTAGACAGCTCTTGGGTGATAATGACAAATGACAAAGTTGTTGTACACACAAAAGTATACCAGATGAAATCCTGTTTAATTATATTTAAAGATTTTTGAGATTAAATACATAATTTTAAAAGTTCAGAGGGAAGTGATTAACTTAAAACATATTAATACATTTCCGGAGGGCTGAGTTAAGTTATAATTGTCTGGAATTCATTGAGGCAGATGTCATTTTTCTCTTCCTGCTTTTAGTAGAGATGGAAGCAGTTTTGTTGTATTTCCACTTTGTTCTAGACTTAGGGTGGTGATTGAGGTTTGTGTCACTGTAGGTCCATCTTCCTTAGTATCTCTGGAAAATTCTGCAGACTCTCTCTCTGGTTTGATTTTAAAAGAAGGTGTTCTCCTACCAACAAAATGCATCATCAGAAAATCAGGTATAATCTAGAGGAGTTTAAGTCTCTCTGTATTTGTAAGGACTTGTCTGCCCAGCTGTGGGACTAGGATTTCACATCACAGCCTGTAAGATTTGTACAGACTCCAAATGCAAGGAAAATTGATTTAAACAGGCCAGGTTTCTGAATTTGGCTGTGGCTGTGCTTTCCTTGCCTGTGTCTTCCCTGAGCCTCCTGTCCCCAGTCCCAACAACCCCAGCTCCCTCAGCCTCTCTTGCTAGGACTTGTTCTCCAGACCCTTCTCCAGCTTCATTGCTCTTCTCTGGAAATGCTCTGGTTTTCTTGAAGTGAGTGGTTCACAACTGAGCACAGCACTGGAGGTGTTACCTCACCAGTGCCAAGTACAGGGGGACAATCACTGCCTTGCTCCTGCTGGCCACGTTATTTTTGTGACATTATTGACAGAGGAGCAGGACTTTGTGACCTCAGGGCAGTCTCTTTGTAGGTGACTGCTGCCTGAGCACAAACAGCACTGACATCTGTTCAGCTTTGTGGCACAGAGCCCATACCTCAGCAGTGAGCTTCTGCTGGTTAGTCTGTCAGCAGAGTCCCTGTCTGGGAAGTCCCACACTCTTTTCTGGGAGGTCTCTGTGTTTGAAATGAAACTTTGTGCCATCACGGTAGAATGGGATCTGTTATCGTGTCCTACAGAGTCAAAAAAACCAGCAAATAAAAAATAACATTAGAGGCAGAGTTTGCTGCTTCTGGGTCCATAACAATTTTCTCTGACCATCATACTTATAATTATGCTATGGCTTTCTTCTCAGTGAGCCACTATGTAAAGAGATGTCCAGAAAGAGATCTAGATCCAGAAGAAAAGATGTTGATCAAATCCAAAGCAGTTCCTTAATAAAAGTTTAAATACAGCCCCACACCCCTACCAGAGAATAACCCAGTGTTGGCCACAGAAAAACTGAAAGATTGCTGTGCAAGTCACCCTGGACTGCATTCCTCTGCCAGGTCACTGCATCACAAGGGTGTGTTGCTTTCTAACAGAGGCAAAAAGGATGGCTCAAAATTCCCCCAAACTAAGGACCTCTTGTCACTCTCTTCTCTTTCTCTTACCATCACTTGCCAAAAAGCACAGCTCATTCTTGAAAGAAGTGAGAACATACCTATGTTATTCTGCAGTGGTTTCAGCCAGTCCTCCATCAGTGTCTGAGAAGGTGCTGCAAAGAAATACTCTGCCCCATCTCTCAGCCTGTAAATAAGGATAGGAAAAGGTGAATTCTAGTCAGTTTTGCCTTATGTCTTCTGTGCTTGTGAGTGTGAGACACTTCAGTTATGCCTCCTAACAACACACAGCCTTAGGTGACTGTGGGCAGGGAGCCACACAGGCTTTTATTTGTGCCCTTCTCCATCAGACTCACCGCAGCATGAAGGTGTTCTCTTTCCTGCTGTAATTCACCAGCCTCTCACATTTGGCACCAGAAATATCAAGGGACAGGACTGTGGGTGCATTCTGAAGGGGAATAAAATTAAAACAAAATGTCTTCTGTGTTTGGATTCTATTCCATACCAACTTGCAGGCAGACTACACACCCATCTCTTTATACATCTAACTTTAATTCTAGGATCATGAATAGGATAAACCACAGAAGAACCATGGACGACTGCATTATATCTTTAAGGCAATCCTTGAATAAGATACTTCTTTTAAGGTATATCTTTGAAAATTTCTGGAAG